GGCCCAGTCCGACACTACATCGGGCCTCACCAGTGTTACTGTGGACCCAGTGTCAATCAGAGCAGTGCAGGAGACTCCTTCCACCGACGTAGCAAAAGTCGCCGGCACATGTACGGCCAACCACTGGAACCACGGCCACCCCCCTGTGGCAGTCATCCAGTCCTGGGGCCGTTGGAGCCTGGGTTCCCTGACCACGCTGTTGGAGGCTGTCAGATGGTGATTCAGACGTGGAGGCTACAGCTGGGGTCCGCGACGCCTCCCCTCTGTGGCCCCTGTGTCGTTTCCCTGCTTCCTGGATGCTTTAGGACACCGTCTGAGGAGATGTCCCGGTTGACCACAGCCCCAACACAGGGCAGGGGTTGCAGATGAGCCCTGTGCTGACTGCAGGGAGACTGCTCGAACCAGCTCAGTTAGTTCTGAAACCCACGCAGGCTTCTCCTGGTCCAGTTGTGTCTGTTTTGCAGCCCTGCAAGCTGGAGGTTGTCCGCTCTGATCACCTCCTGCTGCTGCTCCACAGAGGCACTCCCTCTCCATTGCTAAATCTAGCGCATCCTGTAGGGAGGCTGGGTGTATGAGCTGAACCTGCATCCGTAGCTCCGGGGGAGACAGAGCTCTAATAAACTGATCCTTTGCCAGTTCATTCTGTACACTTGAGGGCATGTGTGCATACGCTCTGCGTGTAAGACTCTCAATGTCATTAGCTAACACTCGCAGAGGCTCACCTGCCAGCCTGTTCCTGGTGGACAGTTTATTTTTAAAGACGTTAGGCTGTACACATTGTCCAAACCGCCTCTTTAGTGCTCCAACCAAAGCATTGTAGTCCTTCCTGTCCTCCGACCCCAACAGCAACAGGCAATCCAGTGCATCATCTTGTAAGCAGAGGGCTAGCTGCAAAGCTTTATGCTCTAATGTCCATCTTCCTGCCTGAGCCAGTAGTTCAAACTGCGCATGGAAGGCCTCCCAGTTCGACCTACCGGTGTACTTGGGCGTTTTCAGCGGTACAGCAATGTTATGTTCGCCGCCGTCGTTATTTCCGCCGCCCCCGCCATAATATCCGGCGTAGTCCTCCGCCGGAGCCGACAGCGTTGCAGGCCGCGGTTTCCCGCCGGCAGCCGGGCCCGCTTCAGCAGCCATCCCGACTGTGAAACCACGCAGAGAAGCTCTTGCCCTATCCAGCCTTTGCAGCTCTGCGTTCCAAGCCTCACCTTCTTCTTCCCCTTCTGTCTTGAGTCCTATGTTGGAAAACCCGCCGTCCATGACGCTAACGTAGCGGCTAACGGTGCTAGCGCGCAGAAACAACTCACAGTCCCGTAGTTCCGGTCACGTATGGTTTACTTCTGACACCAGTGTAATGATGCCAGTTACGCCGAGCTATTGCCGTCAACAGGTTTATTAAGCAAAACGAGCTGTTATTTCTGAGGCCACAGCTCACGCCCCTCACAACATGGCTAGCATAAGCCCCAACAAAGATAGCCCTTCAGTTAGCCTTCTCAACCTGCTTAACACTTCCGGTCCTGGAACCGCTGCTCTCCCAGCTTCCCCCCCCCATGCGAACCAACAGGCCTATCGCATGAGAGCAGGAGCCAGCAGAGTCAGGCAAAGGAAACACACAAGGAAGGGAACAGAAAACACATAACCATATGGACCCCAATAAAACAAAACACAGAATCATTACAATATATATATATATTTTTTTTTAAGGAATTCAATTCAATTCAGTTTATTTCTATAGCGCCAATTCGCAACATATGTCATCTCAAGGCACTTTACAGTTCATCAGATCATCCAGTCAAATTGATTCAAAGTTTTCTATCTAAGGAAAACCAGTTGATTGCATCGACTGATTGACTTTTAGGCAATCCCTCACATTAAGCATGCATGTAGCGACAGTGGAGAGGAAAAACTTCCTTTTAACAGGAAGAAACTTCCAGCAGAACCAGGCTCAGTGTGAGCGGCCATCTGCTGAGGCCGACTGGGGTTCAAGGAGACAGAAGCAGAGATACGAAAAGCAGCTATAATAGGTGGCCCGGTCTAGGAAACACACAGCCAGGCAGCTCCCATGTCAGAGGATGAAGAAAGCAAATCCAGCCAGTCACAGTCAGAGAAACAGGACTACACTGAAAAACAGGCCGATCTCCGGCATCTATAAACAAAGGTGTTGATGGCAGCAGCACAGCTGATATTTCTCTCCAGGATGGAGTCACAGCCAAACAGGAACAGACCAGATGAAGCTACTATGAGAAAAAGCAGAGAGAGCAGAACGTTAGAGATTGAACTAACAGATTCTGCAGAGTGGGAGAATAGAGATAGAATGAGGCAGACTTATGAAAAAGGGGTCCCTATGTCCTCCAGCAGTCTAAGCCTATAGCAGCATAACTATAGAAATAGCTCAGGATAACCTGAGCCACTCTAACTAGAAGCTTTATCAAAAAGGAAAGTTTTAAGCCTAGCCTTAAAAGTAGACAGGGTGTCTGCCTCACGGACTAAAACTGGTAGTTGGTTCCACAGGAGAGGAGCCTGATGACTAAAAGATCTGCCTCCCATTCTATTTTTAGAAATTCTAGGAACCACTAGTAAACCTGCAGATTGAGAGCGAAGTGCTCTGTTAGGAACATAAGGAACAATCAGATCTCTGATATCAGATGGAGCTTGGCCATTTAAGGCTTTATATGTGAGAAGGAGGATTTTAAATTCTATTCTTGATTTAACAGGAAGCCAATGAAGAGAAGCCAGGATAGGAGAGATATGATCTCTCTTTTTCATTTCCATCCGAACTCTGGCTGCAGCATTTTGGATCAGCTGAAGGCTTTTAACTACAGTTTGTGGACTTCCTGATAGTAAAGAATTACAATAGTCCAGCCTTGAAGTAACAAATGCATGGACTAGTTTCTCAGCATCACCCCTGGACAGGAGATTTATCATTTTTGAGATATTCTTCAGATGATAGAAGGAAATTCTAGAAACCTCTTTGATATAGGATTTAAATGACAGGTCCTGAAAAAATAACACCAAGATTTTTTACTTTATTATCTGAAATCAGTTTAACCCCATCCAAATGAAGTGACTGACTATTTAGCTTAATTTTGAAAGACTCGTCGAAAAACTATAACTTTTATTTTGTCTGCATTCAGGAGCAGACAGTTAATATTATTATGTTTTATGTCTGTATTGTCCAGTTTAGATAAGATAATTGTTTTCCATTTGCTAAGGTTTTTTTGTACAAGATGGTTCTGGAAAATGACTACAAAGATGTGTCATTTTCTATGTTTTGTCCTTTCAACGCAATCACTGAAAACAGCTCTCATCTGATAACAGTATTTACATGAATGAAGTTGGCTTTGTAGAACTTTCACTATGTATGACTGACTTACTGGATTACCACCACTTTACATCTACTTGCTAACTTATGTATATTCACTGTTTTTCAGCTTTTTAAAAGCTTAAAATTTTACCGTAAGATGCCCAAGTCAATATTTTCACTCAAAAAAAAACTTAAGTATGTTTGCCTTGCACTTATATGCATAGAGTTTAGTGTTTCTCTCCAAAGTGTCCTCTTTAATTGAGTTGAAATGATTTTTGTAACTCTTAGTTGATTCATTAAGATTTTACACTCAAAGCCTCCACCCCTTCATCAACGTCCCATTCACCTCCTGCCTCCTCTCAGAGCTGTCTGTCCCCTGGGAGAGATTGATGGCTGAGTGTGTTTGCTGGGCAGCGGCCACAGATCACAGCACACAGTCGCCTCTGGGGAGGATGGCGGTTAATTGCCATTGAACCATTAATCATAGCAGCCAGGCCTTTCGTTACTGAAAGGAATCAACATCAGTAGCTAGGAGACTTTGGGAAAGCAGAGAAACTTTGTTTTACTCTGATATGATGTAATTTTGGTCTTGTCTCACATTCTTAATGAATACAGTTAAAGGAATAGTACACCCAAAACATGATTAGCCTTCATTTTCTACTCACCCCCATGCTGAACAACACTCTGGAGTACTTTTTTGATATCTCAAATGCATCTGGAGATCTGGGAGGCTTCTTGCTGTCTGCTGACATTCAGATAATGGAGGTCTATGGCGCCCGAGGCAGAAAAGTCCATACAAGTCCACAAAAAACGTGTCAATATTCCTCCATACTGCTCGTCCAATGTATTCCAAGTGTCCTGAGTGGGTAGCGTCCATAATTTACTCGAAACGAAGTCATTTAGAATGTTTTTAGAGCATAAACAGTAGTGTATAGGATTTCCTAAAAGCGCGTTCACGAGTCTACGGAAACCGCAGCAGACGAAACCAGATGAAAGTGCGCATTCAGCTCGTCGAAGAACTCATGCTCTTCCTCAACACTGAAGTCCTCAGACATTTTTCTTTTGTTGTTTTTATTTCTTTGCACAGGTAAACAGCACATTTCTTCTTCTACGCTTGCATTATCGGCAGAGCAGACGCTGAATGCGCACTTTCATCTGGTTTGGTCTTCCGCGGTTTCCGTAGCGTCGTGAACGCGCTTTTAGGAAATCCTATACACTACTGTTTATGCTCTAAAAACATTCTAAATGACTTCGTTTCGAGTAAATTCTGGATGCTACCCACTCAGGACACTTGGAATACATTGGACGAGCAGTATGGAGGAATATTGACACGTTTTTTGTGGACTTTTATGGACCTTTCTGCCTCGGGCACCGTAGACCTCCATTATTTGAATGTCAGCAGACAGCAAGAAGCCTCCCAGATCTCCAGATGCATTTGAGATATCAAAAAAGTACTCCAGAGTATTGTTCAGCATGGGGGTGAGTAGAAAATGAAGGCTAATCATGTTTTGGGTGTACTATTCCTTTAATCTTTAAATCTTTACAAACATAAACCGGCTGTGGGTGTTCAAATAAATACGTGCATCGAAATGTTTTTTTTTCCCAGTATTTTCCACCTTTGTTGTTTCTATATACTGCAACTGTCTGCATTTATCATTAGTCTTTTTTTGCATATGAACTACCTTCTCATCTGTTTCAGCTCCAACCGAGTCCCCTCTGCGACCCAATCTCAGTGAGTCTTCATTTCATTACAAGTTGTATTTAATAAATTTCTCTACTTCACAGCCAAAATTGTGCATATTGTGTATTTACAGTGGAGCTCCATGCGAAGCATGCTGTGCTACGAGACGACTTTGACTCCAACATGCAAGATGAGTTGGACCCTAACGTATGGTAGGCGAAAAGCTTCAGTTCCTCTTGCAGTCTGCTATGCCTCGTAAGTTTTCTGGGTATGCTCAGGTATGAGGTTTAGTCATTTACAGCCGACTTTTATGTTCTTTTTATGGCAAACTGTAAGAACATGAGAATTATGCAGTTTTACAATATGAACTGAGCACAGCCAGTATTTATTATGCCTTGCATAAGTATATGTCCTGGACTTTTCTGCATTTTGTGGCTTTGCGAACGCATGGTTTAATACACTGCTATGAGATTTTTTGCCTGTAAAATGTGAACTTTGTTGTTTAGACATAAAAGTAACATTAAGAAGTTGAAGGAGGATGGAAACTTTTTGCAAAACATTGTATTTATTCATCAGGGTTTGCAAAGATAAATATATTTCTGTTTTATCTCCTCTTAAACTGTTTACAGGTCAGACTGCAGTAACTGTGAGGTCGGAGATCAGTGTGGTGTGCTGATGCATGGCAGAGCGGTGACTTTCTGTGAGCACTTTGGAGAGCGAGAGCTGGTAACTACCATGTTTGACCACAGCGTAACCACACTGCATATTTTACGGCCAATTGACTATAGATCCAAAGCAGCCACCAAGTAACCGCAACCACATCCAGACTACATTACAACATCCTCACTGTGACAACAGTAGAGTTTTAAATATAAAAAAAAAAAAGACATAGTGTTGTAGCACCTCAGCCGAAATCTGTAAATCAGCAGTAGCTTTTATGTATATTTTAAGATGACTTATCAGATAATTACGGAAGAGGATTAGGGCCACTGAAAAAAAAAAAGTTAACTAATTTTTAAATTTTATTTCGGTTTAATATGACTTTAATCTCAGAATTCTGACTTTAATCTCAGAATTCTGACTTTTTTCTTAGAAGTTTGACTTAATCTCAGAATTCTGACTTTAATCTCAGAAGTTTGACTTTAATTTCAGAATTCTTCCTTTTTTTTCAGAAGTTTGACTTTAATCTCAGAATTCTTACTTTTTTCTCAGAAGTTTGACTTTAATCTCAGAATTTTGACTTTTTTCTCAGAGGTTTGACTTTAATCTCAGAATTCTGACTTTAATCTCAGAAGTTTGACTTTAATCTCAGAATTCTTACTTTTTTCTCAGAAGTTTGACTTTTATCTTAGAATTTTGACTTTAATCTCAGAATTCTTAGTTTTTTCTCTGAAGTTTGACTTTAATCTCAGAATTCCGACTTTAATCTCAGAATTCTGACTTTTTTCTCAGAAGTTTGCCTTTAATCTCAGAATTCTGAGATTATAATCTCAGAATTCTTACTTTTTTCTCAGAAGTTTGACTTTAATCTCAGAATTCTTACTTTTTTCTCAGAAGTTTGACTTTAATCTTAGAATTTTGACTTTAATCTTAGAATTCTTACTTTTTTCTCAGAAGTTTGACTTTAATCTCAGAATTCTTCCTTTTTTCCCAGAAGTTTGACTTTAATCTTAGAATTTTGACTTTAATCTCGGAATTCTTACTTTTTTCTCAGAAGTTTGACTTTAATCTCAGAATTCTTACTTTTTTCTCAGAAGTTTGACTTTAATCTCAGAATTTTGGATCTTAATGTAGATGGGCACCATGAAGGAAGAGATGTGGGAGCACTCATCTTCACTGACAAAGATGTGAGTTGTTTGAGAGGGCCAGTGACACATTGGTGGAAAATGACGGAATTAGGCAACTTTTTACGTGCCCGAGGGGTCCCCTCATTAATGGAGGAGCTGAAGGTCATTAAAACAAGAGAGCTAGTCTCTAAAACAGACATGACTATGGCTTGATGCTAACATGTTTGTTAGCTGTAAGAATTCTAAGATTAAAGTCAGAATTCTGAGAAAAAAGTCAGAAATCTGAATTTTCCCCCATGTTAAACTGAAATAAAATTTAAAAATCTGTTAACTTTTTTTTCCAGTGGCCCTAATCCTCTTCCGTAGATAAGAGATAATTAAAGAAGGTATTTATTAAATCTTTAATTTATTTTTTTTTAATAACAGAAATGACAACATCTCATAGTTATGTGCTAATTGCTAATAGTTATAATTTATGTGGATTTGGTTCGTTTAAGTTTATGCCAGTCCATAAGAGGAGCAAATAAAAAAGAACATGCCTGTAAAAACACAAGGATTGTTGCCCTAATTTAATCCCTTTTAAGTACTTAAAAATAAAATAGGAATTTGTTGCATAATGATGAATAGATTTATTTTAGGGATGCACGATGTTGGGATTTTGGCCGATATCCGATATGCCGATATTTTAAAACTCATGTAGCCGATAACCGATATCGATACCGATGTTAAAGCTGGACAAAAATAAGTAGTCATTGAAAATGGCTGTTTTGTTATCCATTTCTGACACTTTGAAAAATAATATACTCAAATATAATTTCATATGCTGATATCAAATAGATTTTTAAAAACGCGGTATCGATCTATTTTACTTTCAAAATCTCGTGAAATTTCATCGTTCTGTTACAAACTCTCGTGATATTTTGCAAATTCTTGTGAGATTTTGTTAGTATAATAGATCGATACCGCGTCAATATATCAACATATAAAAATATGGCAAAATTTCGTGAATTTTCGGGGGATTTCGTAGCATAACGATGACATTTATCAATATTTCATTAGTAAAGAGATTGATATGGTGTTTTTAAATGGCAATATATCAGCATATGAAGATATTGCGATATTTTAATGTATCAATATTTTTTCCCTCGTCTTTAGAAGTTTTTAAGTCTGTAAAAAAATAAGTTTTTGAGGAAGAAGAAGTAGTATTTTTTTTTTTTATAGACTTTAGAAACTCAGAAGCTGATCAAATATCGAGTTAAATATCGGTGGGGTGGCCGATGTCCGATATTCAGTTTTAAGGCCGATACCGATAGGGGGCCGATTATATCGTGCATCCCTAATTTATATTAAACTGTTTATTGCTTGTTATTATGACTTAGACATATTTTTTATTGTCATTTTGTACACACAAGTGTAAACAAAAAGAAATTTCTTTAAGTATAGCTATTTCATTTTTTAAAGTGCAGCCTTGATAAGGTAAGCAGTAGTGATAAAAACATTGTGATGAAAAAAAGTGATGTAAACATATGACTATATAGTCACAGTTCCAACATTCAGGGGTTATTTATTTTATTTGTTTTTTAACCCATTTTATTACCCATTTTTTGGATCGAAGCATATTCATTTTAGAAGGTTAGCCAATGCCCAATTTCTTTTATTGAACTTTCAAATCTTGCTGCTGATGTATAGGTATTATCGTTATAACTTGCAATGCTTATGCCTTAAACATAGGTTTATAAATGACATTTACATTTTCTCAAAAAAATGCATGTTAGAGCAGAAAGGCTGAATATGACATCACAGCAAGATTTAAGTTGTATCACACACATACAAAAGTGTTTATCTATCCTTTCTTTTCCTCTCTCTGTCTCTGCAAAGTGGATTTCCAACAGTTTGTTTTGCAGTGAGAGATTAAGCTTCACACTTCACAGCAGAAAAGTGTTTAGTGCATAGTGAGTCTGTTTACTTCTGCGATAAGCAGCTGCGTTGTCTGTCACTGTTCCAGATGTTTTGAGCAGCTCCCTGGCAGCTATTCCATGAAGTGCAACGGAAATATTAATCCAGAAAAACAGACATATTCAAGCTAAAACAAATAGGCTGTTTAAAAGACAATCTAAAACTAAAAGCCCAACAAAAACTGATTTAATTATTTTGATTATGCAAATAAGCTCATATTTTGATCATTAAAATTAAACAAACTTACTGTGATCTAATTTGTTTTCTTCCGCACGTTTTTATTGTCATTAAACTGTCACAAGTGTAGCCCAATAAATTCACTCTCTGCATTTAACCCATCCCCTTGGGGAGCAGTGGGCTGCCATTGTGCGGCGCTCAGGGAGCTTTGTGGGGTTAAGGGTCCCCTTTGTTCAGGGACCCAGAGTGGAGGCTGTGGGAGAGTGTTTCAGACTCACAACCTCAGGATTCCAAGCTCTACGCTCTAATCACTAGACCTGAAAATCAAAACCTGACTGATTGAATAACAAGTCATTAAACTCAGCAATATCATGTTTGAAACACTGCAGTTGCACTAACAGCTTATTTCACAAAGTAAACATCCTTAAGACATAAAAAGGTAAATACATGTACGCCTGGAAAGATGTTTAATACCTTTATAGTTTATGTAATGTTTACAAAGAAACCACCGGACATTATTGCTCTAATATTCTATGATCATGTTCTTCTTCTTTAGACCACTGTACCTCTGAACACCAGCACTGCCTCAGCTCTGCAGTTTGCACTAGGTGAGTATCCAATGTCCACTGTCATGTTCTTTTTAAGGGATCTGACCCACATGCAGGAAACCACTCAGAGCACCAGAGTAAAAGTTTAACAGGTTTGTTGAAAACACACGATGCGTTGGATCCAGGGTAACTCAGAGAGCTGGTGAACCGGAACTGGAAGTTAGAAGGGAAGTTCAGAGTTACGTTCAGGTTCCGTGGGAAACTTGGATGACGACTTGCAAAAACATAGATTGAAACAGGACTCGCGTTTCCCAAAAGGTGTTCTTACCAGAATCCAGTCGGTTCCAGAATTTGGATGACTCGTTGGAGGGCGGAAAGGTTTTACTTTGGTTAGGTTGGTTCCTTGAGGAGCAATGGAGCGGACTGCCACTTAGATTTCCAGGAGAACTTGAACAGTACGTTTGGAGATTTATCCCCTGCTCAATTTGAAGCTCAAACAATCCTTCCAGGGGGGAAGGCCAAATATCCAGTTTGCAGGACGACTTCCTGCAGAAAAGGCTAAGACAAAAACCAAGTTTAGATCTCAGAGAGACAAAGATTCAGTTAAACGCAGCTAAACTCAGCTTGGCTAGAGAACCCAAAACTGGTAAACACTCTGGCGTCAAGGTAGTGACAGTCCACCGCTTAAGAGTCCTCAGATAATGAGCCAACCAGCCACAGGTGTGTGGAAGGGCCAACGAGAAGAGGGTGCCACCTAGTGGTGGAGGGGGAAAACACAAACAAAAACACAACCCACATAGAACTGGATTCCTAACATCAGACAGTAAATAAACATTTCTATTCCATGAAGTGCAGCAATGATCAAATGTAAACAGTGTGGAAGAAAAAACCTGTTGCACCTTGTATTTGTGTATTTACAGACTTTTTGAAAAAAGTTTTTTTTGCCAGATTGTAAGGTGATTTCTTGTGCCTTGCTTGACTTTACAAAGACAGTCCAGAAATTGTACCATTTTTTCTTAGGATTTCACTAATTTGAACATGGACTCACTATGAGGTTAAAAAATACAGTCCTGTTCACCCTAATCTTATTTGGCTTACACCTGACAGTGTTGGGAAAAAGTTATAACTTTATTTTAAACCGATGGGGATAAGATGTATAAAAACTTAAAAATGATAAAAACCAAATAAACAGTCAAAGGAACAAAACAGTTAAGACCACTTTCAGTTGGGAGATGCTAAGGGTTTTCTTTTTTTATAATAATCGGCCTGTAACCTCCAACACTTCCCATACAGAAACACTAAAGAAAACAGATTTTTGGTGTTATTTTTGAAGAAAAGTTTAGATAAGGGCACCAGCTGTTCGATCTGTGAACGGCTTTCCATGCTTGCAACATTACTAGCAGCAGTAGTGGAATTTGGAGATGCAATCTACTTCTTCAATCTATCTTTGCTCTGCTCTAATTTATCTAGAAGTTCTGCAAACTCACTTTTTCTCTCACTCCCAACTTGGTGTTTGGCTGCATATTTAGCATGCCTTCCCTGGAAATGCCTTTCCAAATGACTCTTTATTAATTGACAACTTCTCAATACAAAGCAAATATGAAGGCAATCCTAAATGATTTGGTCCATCCTTCTTTGAATCCTCTGTTCTCATCAGTCATCTTCACACACAGCGCTTTTTATTACAACAGCCACCTGCCTGGCACCGTGCCGCACTGAAACCTGTCCTGCTGGCTATGATGCAAATCTTTAATGACAGAGATATTTACATTTATTGTTTAAATGTATTTATTTTAAAAAAAATTTACTATATTTGAAACTTAATGAATGTTTGTTTGACCTCCTACACACCATATTAAAACAAAAAAATGTCAGGATTTGGTGTTGGATTGAGGACCCAAAAGCAGAGGCAAGTAGGCAGAGGTGAATTTAGGTGGGTTTAATGAGGTCCACAGGTACAGAGGCAGGAATCAAAAAATCCAACAAAAATAACATACAAACCAGAACCAAGGAGACATCAGGGGAAACCAAACTCTAGGAGCCAGGGAGAGACGAGGTAAGCAGACAGAGGTTAGACGAGGATCCAGCAAACAGGAACTGAAGAGGGCGGGGCTTTTAAAGGTGACAGAGACAAAGAGAGGGCTAACGAGAGGATTGAAAACAGGTGAGGACAGAGCAGAAAACAGAGCTAGGGATAGAGGACACAAGAGGGCAGCAGAGGACAACAAATGGAAAACCTGGAAGACAGGAACTAACAAGAAAACCACAAAATAATAATTAAACACTAAAACAAGGAGCAAAGTATAACTGAATACTCTAAAAAAACATAACAAAATCTAGACTGTGACAAAAAAAATCCATATTTTTTTTATTTTCATACACTTTTAAAGCTTAAGGAATCTGCAATGGGGGCATTAAAGAGCAGCGGGTTGCTGACCCCTGACCCCTGACCTAGAACTTCACATTGGTGATTTCTTAGCTGCTCTCACTTAAGTCAATGTTATGCTACAGGATCTAGTTCTCTTTTTTTGTAAGCTGGTCTTATATTATATTTGAGCCTCCTCTTATAAAAAATATTCTCAGTTCTGCTGTCTGAATAAATCCATTTAGGATTTTTTTTTCTGACCAAGGAAAGTTGTTCAGGGCTTTGCCTGCATTCGCTCCATCATGGGTTTTTTGGGGGGGAGAATAATGGCTCCCTTTTCTGTACACCTCTCATAAAAGTTAAAGTTTTGCAGTCTTTCTCTCTTTATTTGCACTTTCATATCAACATCAGCAAAACTCCATAGAGGCTTTTGGAGATTATTTCTCAGCATTTTGTTGTGGATCTCAAGTTAAATTTATTTAGATTCATCGACATGTTTGCAAATATTTTTAATGCCCTTTACTCAAAAACTGTTTGTGCTGAGTGGAAAGGATTAACCATTTTTTTTACTTCTTTTACTCTTTAAATAAAGAGCTCTTTTTATGCTTATATTCTATCAGAAATAGCCAGAGAGTGCTTTCTTTAATTTATGTTGCTTAATTATAAAATTACATTTCTCTGCATTGTTAAAGAGATATTTAACATGAAATATCTTTTTCTAACTTAACTAATTTTGTTCATTTTCACCTTCTAACTGATGTCTTTGTAAAATTTGAAATCAAGAAACAAAGCAGAGCATTGAAATTAAAGCCCTTTAATTTTTTTTCCCCCTCACAAAGGTGTTTGGGTTTTTGTATGTAAATTTGACAGATTCTGTGAATTTAAAGGTACAGTTAAATTCTTCAAATATATATATTTTTTCCTCATTTCATATCTCAAAAGTTTTAAAAGGTGCGTAGAGATTTTATCACTCTGTGAGACCTCTGTAATTTTTTTGGTTTAAATCCATCCAGCGGGACAAAATAGCTCTTTGTCTATTTCAGGGAGACAGTGTTCATTTACGCCGTTTCATGTCAGTAAATCTGCTGCTAGAAAACATATTTCAGGGTTTCTTTCTCCGTCCTCCTGTCCTCGCTCCTGCGTCCCCCCACCTCTTCCCGCATAACAGAAATGAATGATTTACAATTTCTGGGGAGACACTGAGAAGGCCATGGAAGAGTTTTTAAAGGTGTTGTATTTTTCATGTCCATTACATCCATTCTGTTCTCAAGGGAGTGAGACTAGGAGAAAATACAAGTACATAAAGGTAAAGCCTCGACTTCAACCCCTTGTATGTCGAACTGCTATGTAGTTTGAAGGTTAGCAATGCTGCTGCTGTTTTGCTCTGGCTCTTTAAAGTAAAAACGTAGGAGAGTTCAGCCAGAAATTGGAGCTGGGTTAATGCTTGTTGCATCCAAGTGGCATTAATTTTAAACTTGGCAGGTGAGAAGGTTGGAGGTCACTGTTTTAGTCCATTAGCACCCTTTGGTCCCCTTTACTCCTATGGCATCCAAACAAAATCCTCATCTTGCTATGTTGTGAGGACCCTTTATTAACGCAAGAAAAATGAAAAATAAGAAAAATTAATGTGAGGACCAGAGAGATGTCCCAACTTTCCTATAAATCAGGCATCTCAAACACCAGACTCAATTAATTTCATCAAGTAATCATGTTAGGATTGGACTCACTTAATGAGATGAATGGAGTCGGGTGTGCTATTGCTTGGTGGAAAGAAAACCTGCAGCCTGGTGAAGATTCTCAGTCATCCAGGTCATAGTTATTCCAGAAAAGTAAAAAAAAAAAAAACAATCTACTGGACTTTGTTTGCAAGTTTGAAGATGTTTCGCTTCCCATCCAGGAAGGTTTTTCAATTCAAAATGTCAGAAATAGGGTTGAGTTCAAAGCTTCAATCAGTAGCCCAACAAAGCCTTGTTTTGGCTTAGAGAAAATGCAAAATGAAACTGACGAACGGGTCCCTCCCTTTGGTGTCACGATTTGGTGGTGTTGGTTAGAGGACCCAAATGCAGAGACAAGTTGGTTGAGATGAATTTAAGTGATTTAATGGGTTTTCAGGTTCTGAGGCTGGAGGTAAACAGGCTCTAAGGCAGGAGTCAAAAATCCAACAAGAATACCTCACGAGGCAGGAGTCAAAAAATCCAACAAAAATATCTTAAGAACCAGAATCTAGGAGACATCAGGGAAAAAACAAAAACTAAGAACCAGGAAGAGACAAGGAAGGACGACAGAGAACTGACCAGAAGTTTGATGAGATGTAAGACGAGGATCCAGCAAACAGGAACTGAAGAGGGAGGGCTTTTAAAGGGGACAGAGACAGGAGGTTTTTGCTTAAGGTGAACTTAAATGCTAACCTGACAACAGCCAGATGCATGTCTCGCTCCGCCTAGCTCCACTCACATACATCTGGAAACCCGTCATAGGAACTGCCTTTACTGAAGGCTGGGCCTTATCAAAACTCCTTACATATGATTGGATAAGCCACTTGTCTGTCATCTTTATTGACGTGCTATTTCAACCACTCACACCGAAGCTAACCCGTGATGCTGTGAGAGGAGGAGCCATTTGGTAGATCAAGCTCTTGCCAAATCCGGTCGGGAGAATGGCGAAAACATCGTTTCCACCAACAAAAGCTTTCAAAGCCGTTCTCTGATGTTCTTTTAATGAAACAATATCAGATAGATTGGACAACACAGAAGAAATAGCAGCATCAATGCTAACGCTTGCTTCCTCAATGCGAGCCGCCATTGTTGTTGGAATCTCATGGTCGCTTCTCCACTCCAGGACACACCCGCCCTGCGTCCTGATTGGACAGACCATAAATTCGGTTGGGGAAATCACTTTCAATGAGCGGGTTCCCAGATGTATGTGAGTGGAGCTAGGTGGAGCGAGACATGCATCTGGCTGTTGTCAGGTTACTGAAATGCATACTTATGGATACAATTCCTGCAGGAAGGAGAGACAGTTGAAACCCAGACTCAAACGCACTGTCTCCCACTGGACCTCCTCTGCAGAGCGTTTATTAACAGAACATGATGCATGGTTACAAACAGAGTATTGTTCTGACAGAACAATTGATCAGTTCATGAAGACAGAATGCTCCATCAGAATGACAAGGAAGGATGGTCTCCTCACTGGATCATGAGACAGGAGTGGAGCATCCCCTTGCAAAAATGTTTCATAAGCACACATTAATTTTATAATCATCATTGAATAAACCTGACAATATTGTATAAAACCTCGTACACAACCCTATTCCTGTCATTTTGATTTGGGCTTCCTTGATGGGAAGAGAAACGTCTTCAAACTTGGAAAAAAAAGTCCAGTGGATTGTTTTGTACCTTTTTTGGAATCGCACACAGATTATATGACTTTAAAACTGGGTTTAGTCGGTCACTCCTGCCTCAACATCGCCATCATTATAATATCTTTTTAATATCATAAAGTGCTGACTGAGTCCTTTGTTGTGACCAGTGTTGTATAAAGTACCGAAATGTCGAAGTCAAGTAAAAGTATAAGTACCTCTCCAAAATATGACTTTGGTAAAGGTCCAAGTCACTGACTGAAATGTTACTTGAGTAAAAGTCTTAAAGTATCTGAAACAGCTTGTACTTAAGTATAGGAATTACTGTAAAAATAGATGTACTCAAGTAATGTAGTGAAAAGTATAAGTAAAAAGTAGTGCAGTTTGAATGACATTTTTTTACATTTTGGTAAACTTTGAAGGTTAAATTCACTTAAAATAATATAAACAGGCGTATCCTATTGGTGTTGATGAACAAGCCCAGGCAAGACCCAACGTTTTTTCGGTAGGTAGGGTCAAAAAAATTTTTTTCTTTTTTTTTTTCTTTTTTTTTTATTTATTGACTGTGCAATATCCTGTGCAATATGCTGAATGTGCAATATATGTGAATAGAATAGTCATACCACTACCTCACCGTTGCTCCTTACCTACTACACTTTAACGTAAAAGTAAATCCACCTGTATATAAGCCATCCGGATTGTACATATTTTTATTTCTTGTTTCTTTATTTCTTATTTTTATTTTGTTTTTCATTGTGTGCAATACAGGTACACTTGCACCTTAATTCTTATTTACCTTGATATACTGTATATACCTGGATATACTGTATATATATATTGTTTATTGTTTATTCTTGATGCACCTTTTCCTCATTGTTTGCACCTCCTTTGACTTCTATGCCAATATGTGACAAGTGAATTTCTCCGCTGTGAGATCAATAAAGCTCACCTAATCTAATCTAATCTAATCTAAAACACTTGTGTTTCTCTCGCTCGTTTTTTGTTTTGTTTTTACTTAGTAACTAAACCAAAAATTGAAAATGTATCGGAATAAAAGTATGCAATTAAGTAAAATAAAAAGTGAAAGTTCCCCAAAAAATGTATAGTCTTGGAAAGTATAAAGTACTCCAAAATATACTTAAGTACAGTAGTGAAGTATTTTTACTTTGTTACTATATAACACTTTCAGGTTCTTCTTCAATATCAGTTTATTTTTCTTGCTGTTGTGTTTTTTTTTTTTTTTTTTTTTGTTGCTTTATTCAACCTAAGGGCCGTTTTATCCGTGTGTATCTTCCCCAGGCTCGGGTTCCTGCCGGTTCAGTTACTCTGATCCCAGCATCACGGTGTCATACAGCCTGAGTGGCAATGCAAACACCTCTGATGACTGGATCACGCTGGAAAAGATCAGGTCAGTTTCTTTCTGCTCTCTCCTTCTTCCTGCCTCATCCATCACACACAGTCCATCCCTCTGTGTCTTTTCACAACTCCCCCCTTTTAATTCGTCATTTCTCTCCTGTTTAAACAGGTGTTGTAAAATAATCATGTTTAGTCACTACAATGTGATGTTAGGTTTCAATTGATCTGCTTTCCTTTAAAAAATATCAACTACCAGATGCATGATTAGTTTTTTTATTTACCATTTTATACCATAAAATATATGCATGTTAATATTTTTTTTCCTCTATTTTAGAGCTCCTACCAATAGCAGCACCGTCATCCATCTGGTTCCGCTCCCGCATTCCTCCAGAGGCGAAGGCATCCGTCTCCGCTGGTCTCAGGAGACCCCCCATGGGCCTGAAGGATATGAGTCCTGTTGGGGGCTAGACAATGTGCTGCTGGTAAATTCTGCCCACAGAGTGCCCCTGATTGAGGACAACCTGGATCCCCTGGACACAGCAAACTGGCTCTTCTTCCCTGGAGCCACCATCAAGGTATTCTGATATACTAGTATTTATAGTGCCATAAAAATGTGTTCTAGTGGGATTTTATTTAATGGGCTAACACAAAGTACAGAGAGTTGGTATGTGGAAAAAAAAGGTTAAATATAAACAAAGCATCCCTACAGCATGAAGCTGCACCACCGTTGTTCTATCAGGTGAGCATACCTCGTCAGACCAGCATACCCATAGTCAATACGCATGTACAAGACGTCAGATTTGCGTTTATCTCTTTAGTTTTGTATGAAAAATAGACTTTAAACTACCTCAATGGGCGTGTATCGTGTGTTGGGCACGTTACTTAAAAAAAGTAATTAGTTATAGTTACTAGTTACTTCTCCCAAAAAGTAACTGAGATACTCCACAATAAAAGTAACTAGTTACTAGTAAAAGTAACAATTGCGTTACTCTTGCGAGTGTATGAAATTAATACCTGGGGATGTCTAATTCTGAAATCCTGTGTTTGGGTTGTTATAGATACTGCAACATGTAGCTATATCCGTCCGTCCGTCCGTCCATCCATCCGTCCATCCATCCATCCATCCATCCATCCATCCATCCATCCATCCATCCATCCATCCATCCATCCTTCCTTCCTTCTCCATTTAGGCTAATGATCGTTCACGCTCTCCGTAGTTCCCCTGTGGCGTGTTAAGCGGCTTTAGCAAGCATGCGCGTTTCCTGTCGCGTGCGCGTTGAATCGTGCCGCTGCGCTGTGCGGAGATGCAGGGGGAACCGTATCTGATGGGGAAACGCAGCTCGACGTAACACCAGTATTTCCATCTGGAAAGCACTGTTTTGCCGCTGGAGTCCTCCTCGCTCTCCACCCTCCCCTCTCTCATGACGCGCGCACAAGTCCTATCATGAAAAAAGGTTAATTGTGCGACCTGAGTAACGTGCAGTAACGAGGTGTCGGCAATTGTAACTACGTTATAGTTACAGTAAGAGTAATAATTTTGATTACTCGTTACTAAAAAAAGGTAGCGGCGTTAGTAACGCTTCAAAAAACACCAAAAAGTGAGTAATTAAATAGTTTTTTGTACATCACTAAAGGGATACATCCCCGATAAGGCAGTTTAATGTCTATTTTTCATGCAAAACTAAAGGGATAAACAGGTATTCACTAAGGGTATGCTGGTCTGACCAGGTATGCTCATCTGACAGAACCCGTGTTCGAAGGTGGAGATTTTTCATTTATGCAAATGTGCCGTTTGATGTTTTTTGCAACTTTCACCCCTTCACTTTTCCATAAAAGTCAGATTTCTGTAGTTTGCCTTGAACAGTTCTCAGATAATAGACTCTCTAACCTGTTTTTTGGATTTTTATGATTCACTGCTAGACTTTTGAATGGTTCCCAGACTAATCCTGTCCTTGGTTGGCTGCTCTGTTTAGGAGGGGGTGTCCTGTCTTGGTAGATTTGCAGTTGTTTCAAACTTTTTTGGATGTAGAAACAAACAGCACTCTCTGGCAAGATGTTCAAACTAATAGGATACTGTTTTAAACTAAACACTGTTTTAAATTTGCTAACAACTTCATTTCTGCCTTATCTGATTTATTCCTTGGTCTTCATGATGCCATAATGCTCTCTAACAAACCTCTCTGGCCTTCACAATAAAGCTGTAACTTGATTTAATTAGACACAATTGGACTCTATTATTAATTAACTATTAGCTATGTTCATCTTTACTAATTAATTCTGATATCAGAAGGCTATTGCACTGCAAAAACAATCTAGAAATGAGCAAAATTGTCTTAAATTAAGTGTATTTACCATTCATTTGAGTAGGTTAATGAGATGATCTGCCAATGGAACGAGCATTTTTATTCTTAAAACAATATATTTCGATAAAATGCACTTGAAATAAGACAATGCAATTGTGTTTTCTTATTTTAAATGTAAATCGTCTTGTTCTATTGGCAAAGCGTCTCTTTTACCTCATCAATTTATGAACAAATGCATTTATTTTAAGAAAAAATGACTTATCTAGATATTCTAGATGTTATGGGTGAAAAACTGAAAGGAAATTAATTACTATTATACTGTTCTCTATTTTTCTACTGAAATACAATATAATAAAAAATTATTTTACAAGGCTGTGTAAATGAATTAAGTGGTGCTATTTTTAATAAACTGAGGAACATAAACTATAATGATCTAAATATTGATGTGTGTCATTTTTTGATTATTGCTGTTGAGCAGCACGCCTGTCAGTCAGATGGCAATGCGTTGTATTTCCATGGCGGTGAAGGAGTCGTCCATAGTTTTGCTTCGACCAGAGACATCGATTTGCACCGAGAAGAGGGGAGAAGCTACTGGGAGGAAGACTTTGAGTCCCCACCTTTAAAGTAAGTGAAAAAACGCAAAAGGAAATTAGAGTAAGAAAATGATCAAGGTAAGATCCAAAGATAATTGTTTAATTAAAAGAATTATGAATTAATGGTCTACCGATAAGGTTTTACGTCAGGTTTATATTTAACTGCAGGCAAGTAGGAAAGGACTATGTTTGGCAGGACTACTGAGACATGCAAACATTAAACACTTTGACACCTGTCACTCGTCATATGTCCTGTGATGAAACGTGCCGTGCTGCATAAGTCAAGCATGCGAACTCACACAGGTGATCGGCATACCTCTGACTGCTTCAGAGATGGCACTCCATCTGTTCCGACTACACAAGCATACAGGCAAACACACACTGGACAGCAGAGAGCAAGGAAGCACAGTTTCTGATGCACTGCGTGAAGCACGGAGATAAAACGAAGGGGCTGATGGATAGTGTTACTGCCAGGGAGTAATTAACAGGCTTCATGCATCAGCTCTGTCAGTATGTGTTTCCTTTAATGAGGAGGACCACGCCCTCACACCTACTTTCCAACATGCTGCCCTGCGTGGAGCTCTCACCTGTCACGAACCGTGAACTGAACACATGCATGAGGAGACAAGGAGGACTTAATGGTAGACTTCCACACTTAAAGTGTTATTTATCCAAACAGTGAGGCAGAGATAGGAACAGCAGGAACTGAAATTGAAGAAAAACAGAAACTGTGTAGAGTCAGATGAGCTCAGGAGAGCTGGACTGGAAGACGGAGCAAACTTCTCAGCACGTGTGTACATCCTGTGCATCTCCCCCTCTAGGTGATTCATGCCAAAAGCATTCGTCTCTGTTTACGTAGTAACTGATGATTTATGTCGGTGCTTTACTGAAAGTCTAAAGTAGGATACTTTACAGGATTTTCTGTTCTTGATACTAGGCCCATTTTCCACTGCAGGAAGTTTCAGCAATCACCCAGTATGTTGAGACGGAGCAGAAGAAATACTTTTTAGGTGTTTTTTTTTTCAAAATAAAAGTTTTGAAACCATTGTTTATTGTACATAATGTGTACATGTCAGAACAGGGTTAGGTACTTCCAGTGAATGTGTATGCCATTAACCGTTTATTCAAATGACCTCCATATGTCACAAAAGGCTCAGCAGAGGTTTGTGTAGAACATGTTTTTCATTTAATATAAAAAGATAGTTATCCTTAAGGATCTTAAGGATAACTAAGAGCTCTTCATGGACAGGCACCAGACTACATTAAGAACCTCATCCAGCCTTATGTTTACATTAGGAACCTTCGGTCGTCCAATTTGAACTTGCTGACGGTTCCTCTGACCCATTTTAAGGCCCGAGGAGACAGATCTTTTAAAGCTGTGGCGCCTCGTCTCTGGAATGAGCTACCTTGTACCATTCGTTCTCTTGTTTGTATAGACACTTTTAAGAAACAACTAAAGACCCACTTTTTTAAACTTGTTTTTTAGTTTAATGCTGTGTTTACTGTTTCTGTATGTTGTTTTAATTTATATTAACTTTTTATAAATTTGTGCAGCACTTTGTGACCCTGGTCTGTGAAAAGTGCGATAGAAATAAAGTTTACTTACTTACTTACTATCTCATTTACCTACTCAAATGAAGGGTAGTGATGGGCTATCTGAAGCCAGGCTTCGAGGCTTGTACCGAGTAATAAGGGGGCGTGTCAATAAAGCCCCGTTTCGAGGCCTGTGTTGTCTTGATGAAAACCACGTGACTGGCAACAAACGAGGCCTCGCATTGCATTGGTCACGTGACTGCTTCATTTTGCGTGTCGGTTTTCAAAATAAAAGCGCGATGAATCCTGTTTCTTCGTGGGTTGTAGTAGGTGGTTTGGTATCAGCAGAACAGTTTTCATCAGCAGTGGTTGAAATGGAGCCGTCAAAAAAAGAGAAAAACCTCTCATATGTGGGAGTATTATGAGATGACATATCACAATCACAACCTGAAACAGTGAAAAAAGTCCTATTCCTAAATAAAAACAATTAAACCTAAAATCCAGAATTTTCTATATTTTCTTTTGATTAATCAGGAGATGCATCAGAATCACACATCAAAACCAGACTTAAAGCTATTAGAAGAGACAAACTCTATGTGTAACTTAATATTAAGAATCAGAACTAGAACTCCTAGGAAGAGATGATTTTAAACAAATTCTGTCTTTAAGGAAGCAAGTTTCAAGCTCAAAGTACACAGAGTCTGCAGCAACAGTCACTCAGTTCTCAATACATTAAAGTAACCCATATCGTCATTGTCTAATAAGTCCATGTCATAAAAGAAAACCTAACACCACCATTGATGGTCAAGGATTAGATTGGCTACAAATCATTTTAATCATTAAAATATGACAATTAAATAGGATTCTCCTCTTACTAAACATGAGTTTGATGAAAACTTTGTGACAATATTGCATTTCCTAATATTTGGAAGTATGATCCAACTGAGTAACAAGGCTGTTACAGTTTCACCAGCAGATGTCACTAGTGAGTGATGAATGAAGCATGGAGTAATGAACTTTTTTCAACACTTTGCGTTGGAAAGCTTCATTGCTTCATGAGGCTTCACTTGCCCATCACTAATGAAGGGTAAAGACACTTAATTTAAGGAATTATTTTACTTAATTCTAGATCGCTTTTCCAGTATAGAACCCTTGCTGGAAGAAACAAAGATAACCTGGCATGGGAGGAAGGAAACAGATTGCTTAAATAGACAGAAGGAGATGATTGAGGACAGGTGTGTTCAAGCAGGCTGGCTTGGGTAGTGCAGGTAGCAGAGGAGGGGCAAAACAAAGTTGCCATGTCACACTTCTTGTGCTGGTTTTCTAAAACCTTCCCATATATAAACTGCACTCACAGGCCAAACACCTTTTTTAACTTCTACATTAAGCCATCAAGAGAAAAGTGAACTGCCTACGGTGGTGTTTTCTAAGCTCTGCATACCGAATGTTTAAAAATATTGTAACAAAATGCTGCGTGTTTTAGCAGGGGGTGTGGCTATATTGATCACAGACGGTATACTTCATCATGTTCCTACGTTTGAATTAAATAAACTGTTTAGATGCTGATTTCATTGGGATCCCAAGGCAAAAGCTTGAATAGAACTACGATATATCTATTTAAAAGCTGCAGTTTGTCTGCTTTTCAATGGATTTTTGCAGCCATAATCTCATTGGGTTATAAAAAAGTACAATGAAAGTGTCTTAAAAAAGGGTTTACAACTATTATTTTCATTTATTTAGGTATTTATTTGCTTATTTTCAGGTTTATTATGACAATGTTGCCTTTAAAAATATTTAATAAAATATTTTAACATGAAAATATAGTTTTTTGATGATCTACTACAGGTTATTGAATATAAAAAACCTACATATAGAGCATTAAAGGTGTAAAGGCATCTCTGCGGAGTGCTGTTCCAAGGCAGCAGTCAGTTCTCCATGCAAATACTCTTAAAAGTAGTGCAGTCCTCTTCACTTTTACCTGCTTATCAATGGGGAAAGCAACCTTTGTATGTAACCCAAACATTTCAAGTAATTGCAAAACCATTTTTTTGTTTGCACAAGTAATTTACCTTTCCTTATTTGGGACTTTAGTGGATGAGGGCCATAAAGCAACAGCTGTTTCTTATTATCGATTCCAGTGTTACTTCAGCTCTTCTTCGTTTCCTCACATTTTTTTTCTCAGCTGGGATATAGAAGGAGCAACATACGGGACAAAGTGTGGAGAGATTGAGTCAGGTGAGGCGCTGGTGTTTGAGAAGGAGGGTCGAAGAAGAGTGTGTACCCCCTACCTGGACACCACATCTTATGGGAACCTCCGCTTCCACTTTACCATGGGTATATATATATTTTTTCCAAGTTTTTTTTTATTATTAGGACATTTTTTTATATCAACCAGAGGTTATTTTACGTAAAATCAAATGTTTTTGTGTGACAGTCTTGTTTTTTTGCTTTTTTTAAGACTTTGCTTGTGTATTTTGCAGGTGGTGGTGACTGTGATCCAGGGGAGTCACATGACAATGACGTGATTTTGTTTGGAAGGTCTGAGGGCAGGAGGGAACGTTTGATTCTCGATACGCTTCCGTATTCATCTTACAGGGTGAGACACAGTTCTGCAACACAGGAAAAACTAAAACAGAAACTACTTTGCTTTCCTTCTTTCTATTTTTACTAATTACGTTCTAGTGACCCCCTTTTACCTCTTGAAAATCACCTTTGCATTTTATTTAACAAAAGGCATTGATTCAGTTATTTTTAGACCATCACTTGTATTCAAGTAAATACAATTCAATTACTGATTCCTTCTCTCTTTAAAGCCATATAAAGCACGCTATTGAGAGTACATTAGATTTTACATAATACCTGATGTGTTATACTGCAGTGATTCTGAATTCTTGACCTCAGAGCTCACAGTCCTGCATGTTTTAGGTGTTTTCCTGCTTAGCATTACCTGATTTAAAAGATTTTCAGCCTTCTTCGCCATTTTATGGCATGCTGAAAAGTTTATCTCATTTAATCATTACTATAACATCATCTCCTCTGCATCTCCCCGTTTTTGGGAGGATTCTACAATAGATAACCTGAAGTCAATAGCCCCATTTACACTACCTTTTTTAAAACAGTGCTGCACTCCAACTTCCTTAGAGCTGGAGAAGAACATGCCAGATATTATCATTAAATTCGTAGGAGCAAAACATACAGAAAGTAACGCTTAATTTAATATGACATATTTAAAAAATCCCCATCAGCATCCAGCATATGTGCAGTTTCCGATGGAGATGAGAAATCTGCTTCCTGGTCTGTTGAAGAACCAATAGTTTGCATCCAATCTTTTAAATAAACGGTGTTAGTTTTTTTAAATATATAAGAATTATGCTCTAATTTGTAATTACCGATCTGTTTTTACTATATTTTAATTTGACAAACCGGATCTTCTGGCCGTTTTTTTTTTCCTGTTTGGTGCGATTGCAACAGTGGCTCAACCTGCTGCTGTGAAGCAGGATTCTCCACCATGAACAGAATCAACAATAAATATGGATCCAGGCTCAAAATGAGCTCCTTGATATGTGCTTGAGAATGGCTTAGTCTCCATTCAAACCCAGTTTTAAAGCCTTGCAGGGCAGCCTAAAGCCCACTGCGAACATTAAGACAGAAAAAGGGAAGAAAAAACAAGCAAACATTCAGTTCAGGTGTTTTATAAAACACCTGAACATGCAAATCAGGAAATTGTCTGAAAAATTGTTGTTCTCTACTTCAAAAACACTTTAGATATTAAAATGGAAAATTCTGAATGCATAAGCACCTCATTTTATTTCAGTTTTAAATTCTGTTTAAAGTAACAGATCATTAAAAATGTCTCCGTACCTTTGCTGGTTGATGATTTTCTTTATTCGGACCCCGCTGATTTTTAAATGTTTACCCCTGTACTAGTTCATCAGTAAGGCTCGGCGTGATTTAGTTCTGGCTCGGTTCTCAGAAAACAAAGAGCACACGAGCAGACCGCATCATCTCCTTACCGTCCGCCTCTGTAATCATGACATTTCAGACATTCATAATAATCCTAGCTTCCCCATTGTGCCGCACGATTTCCAGTGGTGATTCTGCTTAGCAGTGTGATAAACCTCAACGTCTTTCATTAGAATGAACTTTTTCTGGTCCTAATTCTTATGGAATAAATAATTAGTTCATCTTTAAATCCAACAAAACAGAAAAAGCAGACTTCTACACTGGAAAAACAATCTAGAAATAAGTCAAAATTTTTCAAATTATGTGCATTTACCCTTAATTTGAGTAGGTAGTTTGCCAATGGAATGAATGCTTTTACTCTTAAAATAAGATATTTAGATAAAATGCACTTGAAATAAGACAATGCGATTGTGTTTTTCATATTTTAAATGTAATTTGTCTTGTTCCATTGGCAAAGTGGATCTTTTTCCTCCTCAATCCAAGAAAAATTGCACTTATTTGATGAAAAAATTACTTATCTAGATTTAGATATTCCTCTTTGTTTAACAGCAATTTATTCCTGTTAACATCAGGGCGTCTCTGTTCAAGTAAGACAGAAGCAAATAAAGTTTCGTCTGATATTTCCATAAAGTGAGGAACCTATCAAGTTCTCAATCCAGCGCTGGTTTTATATGTTTTATCTTTGTTTTTTCTTTTTTTCAGAATGCCTTTTTTTTTTCTTTTTTTTTTACAAATGGTGCCACTGTAATGCTCTCTATTGTAATTGTAGGTAAAAAGTTGCCTTATCACCTTTTCCTTATAGCCTACCTTTAAGTCATTTTGCTCAACCATTAAACTTAAGGTACACAATATTTAAAATAGGATTATCCTAACTCCTCAGTTCTCAAGTATCATGGTGTGTATATAATTTTTTCACACCAAGATTTTTTTTACTTTAGTGCTATCAATATCAATAGATTAGTAGAAAATGTATATATGTTACCAAAGTACTTTTTTATGGTTTCGTGGTAAATGTTAGAGTTATTGAATGATAATTATAAAATTATTGTGTGGGCATATGAAACATTTAAGAAAAATTATGCTACATTTCTGTCCTGTGATTCAATCAGGAGGGTCATAAACTTTTATGACCTGCATCCAGTAGGTCATGAGGCAGAATCACACGGTTGTGTGACTTCCATCCAGCCAGATGGTCATTACTGGGTTTTCTGTTTAAGGCCCGCCCTATTATGTTGTAAACTGTTAATAAAAGGCTTTGCTGAGAAGGGATCTGTGAGAAAATGTGCTGGTTCTGAGCCAGCAGTTCTTCTCCCCTACTGCAGAGGCTGACGTTACAAATCCCTGTCTGTGTTTGATCATTTCGTCCACTTAAAACTCTTAAACTCACATTTCTCTGGATTTAAACCCAACAGTAAAGTTGGTAATAATTCATAATCTGCAAACATTCTATACACTGTATACCTCATCAAGCTCTTCACATCCTCAAACCGAATGTGATATCTTGATGCATTTTCTGTCACATCTTGGTTGAGGTTTGGAGGACCCAAATGCAGAGGCAGAGAGGCTGAGGTGAATACGTGTAGTTTTAATGATGAAAATGGTTAACAAAGGTAGTCCAAAAATCCAACTAAACATGTGTAACAGCCCAGAACCATGGAGACATCAAGGGAAAACACGTACAAGGAGCCAGGGAGAGACGAGGGGAGACGGCAACAGCGATGACAGGACCAGCGACAACAAGGAACCAACAAAGAGTGAGAGCAGAGGGAGAGCATATATAGCTGACAGAGACAAAGGGAGGGCTAACGAGCTGACAAGGAGCAGGTGTGAGAGGAGACAACGAGGGAGCCAAGGGGAAAGCAGCACACACACACACAAGAGGGCTACAGAGGACAACAGAAAAACATGAGAACTAACAAATCTAGAAATTACAACAAAAAAGGAATTAAACCAATAAAACTAGGAAACATAGAGCAAAGTAATGCACAATATAACCAAAACTATGACATTTTCATAAAATCATCTGTCACCTTCGGCTGCCAAACTCTCACCTTTTCCCTGCTCCTCCTCAGACTCCTTCGGTAGTATCGGTCGCGCTGCCATCTGAGCTTCAAACACCGGTCACACAGTTCTGCTTGGAGCAGCGTTCCCATGGAGGCGCTAACCGTCATGTGTGGGCCGTGGATTTTATGCAGCTGCTTCCTGTGTTGCCTGGCACACACACGCATGTTGCCCAGTTCTCCATAAACCTTGGCTGCGGCTCCTACCAGCCTGCAAACAGGTATGATACACCTTCATCACATCAGTCTGTAGTAATGCAGGAGCCGGAAAGGAACTAGATTTTTTTTTTTATGCTGGTTTTCATCCTATCAGTGTGAGTCTGGAGTTTTCTACCAATCTTGGTCGTTTCTGGTCTCTGCTCCACACTGAGTGCCTGCCTGAGCTCTGTGCTGGGCCACATCTACCTCACAGCACCATCTACTCCTCAGACAACTACAGCGGGTATACATTCATTAACATGTTCTGATTTATTATCATGTGCGTGAATTTGATGACTCTTAACAGCAAAGTTTGTTCTGTTTGTTTAGATGGACCAGAATCTCCATCCCTCTGCCCAATGCTGCCTTAACAGAGACGACACGCTTTCGCTGGAAGCAGTCCGGCGCTGGAACAGGCAACATGTGGGCCATAGACAACGGTTAGAACTCCACAAATTCTTCAGAAATATTCTGGATTTCATTTGTTGTAATCAAATCAAAGATCAAAGAATGACAGACATTTTAACAGGCTCCAACTTGAAGCACTGCACAAAATAAGCTGTGATTATACCAACAGTTCATTTGAAATTCGGATTTTGAAGATGGAGAGAAAGAAACATGCATTCAGATTTATTTATCAAAGTTTTTGCTTAGATAATTAAAGATATACACATTTGGCCTCACCATATTTGGCTCCTATGTCAGTATGACTGAACTTTTCATGATTTTTGAGCCATCCTTTTTATTTATTTATTTAACCTTTATTTAACCAGGAAGTCCCTTGAGATTGAAATCTCTTTTTCGAGGGAGACCTGGCCAAGACGGCATACCAATTAAAATACAAACAGAAATACAGCATAGATAAAATCTTACATAGAGGAAAAGACAGGTCACATAGGGCAGTTACATTTTTGAATTACATGACATTTTAACATGGCCTTAAATTTATTCAATGGGACTAGATCATTTAAATGGAGCAAGTTTTGCAAATTATTCCAAGACCATGGAGCTCAGTAAAAACCATTGGAACCTGGTAAGAGTGCCACCTGGTGGAATGGAGATGAAAATGGCTAGAATTTAGCTTGAGGGGATTATATAAATATGCCGGCAGTTTACCCAACATGGCCTTGTATAGAAAAATATACAAATGAAGTTGTCTACGTAGACTTAGTGACGGCCAGCCTACCAGTTCATACAGCGTACAATGATGAGTACGGTAATAAGAGTTAGTTAAGAAGCGCAGAGCACTATGGTACACAGAATCTAACAGGTGGAGAGTACTAGAGGCAGCATGCATGTAGACAACGTCAGCTTTGATTCTTTTTGCTGAGTGACTGTGAGTTTGAGTGACCAAAGTTTGATTGTCTAGTAGTTGATTTAAGAACTATGTTACTACCATTGTCATGATGGGTAAACGGAGGCAAGCCCAAGATGCAGAACACACACGGAGGAGGCAGGGAAAAAGTTCAAAATGTTTAATAAAGTTCTGAAACACACGGTTAAGCACTGGGACTGGAATGGGTCAGGGGCTGGTTCACTGGAGTCTTGACTGGGACTGGAGACTGTGGGTTAGCAGAGTTCATGAGAGGCTAAGCATCTAGCTTCAGGCTTAGCAGGGCAGTACTAGATTTGAGCTTCTAGCTCACAGCAGAGATCAACAGGGGATTAGCACAAAGGGATCTTCTGGCTGAGCTTCCAGCTCTTAGCAGGGAACAACGGGGAAAATCCACATATGATTCTTCAAGCTGATTCAGCGTAGGAACCTCCAGAGAAACTCCACATAGGAGTCTTAGGTTAAATCCACGTAGGAATCTTCGGGTTGGCTCACCAGGGCAGATAGCAGGTTAAGCTCACCTAGAGCTTCTGGCTAGAGACAGGTTTCCTGTGATGCAGCTCTCCCAGAGCTGCAGGCCAGAGACAGGTTACTAGTGAGGCAGCTCTTCCAGGGCTTCACGAGGAGACAGGAGGTTAAGCTCATCCAGAGCTTCACGAGGAGACAGGATTCCTGTGAGGCAGAAACAGGGAAGAGTTAGAATCTGATCTCACACTAGAGATAACCAAGATTCTTCCAGTAACAGAGGCTCAGGTTGCTAACCAACTAAGATCAACACTGCGGCGTTGAGGCAAGATCTGAAGTCAGCTTATATAGGAGAGGTCTTCTGATGAGAGGATTAGCAACAGGTGTGCAGGAAGGTTCCAGCTCCAGAAGACCCACGGCGCACTCTGCTGGAGACAGAGGGTAGTCTCCAGATCCCCACAGTAACTCAACCCTAAGGGAAAAACACAGAGCAGAAGAGGATCCTCTGCGCCCTCTGGAGGGCAAGCCTGAGGATCCTAACAACCATCGTGCTGAACAGTTGGTATTGTGTGCTTTGTATGTTTGAAATCCTCAAACATACTTTGTTTTGTCGGCTCAAATTTTAAGTGTTTTTCTCCATTGACAGCAAGGTATCTTTCTTAATGTTTGTTTAAACAAATAAACCCATCCTGGTTTTGCAAGGACTTCAAAATTGATGTAAATGAATTAACTATGTTTACCTTTCTTGATAACAAGAGTGAGAAAAAAAAATCCGACAATAATCAGTAGATGGCCGCACTGAGCCTGGTTCTGCTGGGGGTTTCTTCCTGTTAAAAGGGAGTTTTTCCTCTCCACTGTCGCTACAAGCATGCTTAATGTGAGGGATTGCTGAAGAGTCAATGAGTTAATGCAATCGACTGGTTTTCCTTAGATAGAAAACTTTGAATCAATTTGACTGGATGATCTGGTTGAACTGTAAAGTGCCTTTAAATGACACATGTTGTGAATTGTCGCTATAGAAATAAACTGAATTAAAGTAATAATGTGAGGACCTTGCTGGTGGTTATGATAGCATGTGCGTACTTTTCTTGGCCACTTACTGAGAGACATTGAACAAATATTAGATGGATTGAATGCACTATACAACTGTGATATCAAACTTTGGTATTTTGCTTTTCAAATTAATTCAAGTTGTATGTTAAATTATCAGTCCACTTTATAAAAGGAACAGTTCCATTAAATCCTTAGCGCTGAATATTAAAGGTATTGTGGAGGATTTTTGCAAATTCTCCACTTAAAAAAAAAATACACTTGCAAGAGCGTGCACGAGACATATCTTCTCATGCACGCTGTGTTTAAAAGGTGCTGTTCTCATAGCTCATACTGGCTAACTGTGACTGAACGTCCACCTTAACCCCTAAATCCCTCAATCACTATGTAGAGCGGGGACTATATAGTGAACTTTATAGCAAACTCAGTTAACTGATTGTTTGGACAGATGATCACTACTTTTTGCTCCGTTGGTCACGTAATTCCTCCTCCACTGCACGGTGCCTGCGCCATCTTTGTTATTAGTCGCCGCTGTCGGGTAGCAACAGCCTATGGCGACAGTTGGCCGCTGTCACAGCGCATCCCATAATGCTTTGCAAGGAGAGCTCTCTGCGCAAATCATTCTGGGATATATCTGCCTCTTCTGATGCCTTTGTTTTCTTCTCATACACTTTATAGACACTTTTTCTCTTACGACCCTCGGCCATTTTCAAAGAATCGTGGTGAGAAAGGTGAAATTCAATGGCTGCCTGAAACCGTAGCTAACCACAGATATACGCCTGAAAGTGAGCATGCACAGAAAAATATATCTAACAGGACGAGCACGTAAGACGGCCTTACGTAAACATATCACCAGAATGATTGACAATTAGGAGGACCACTTATTTAGATGATCCACCCGGAAATAAAAGATTGTCCTCTATACCTTTGAAGTGAAAATATTAATTCCATATTTGAGTTGTATCAGCTTTAATGAAGTGGAATGGCTACATTACCCCTCTTTCATTTCTTCTCTCTATTTAAGCAGAGATGGGAAGTAACGAAGTACAAATACTTCGTTACTGTACTCAAGTAGATTTTTTTGACATTTTTACTTTACTACTTATTTTTATGGCGACTTTTTACTTCTACTCCTTACATTTTTACACAAATATCTGTACTTTCTACTCCTTACATTTTTTAAAATTTGCTCGTTACTTTAGTTTTGAATCATTTCAATGGAGTTGATGTTATTATTTTTCACGTGATCAATCCAAATTCAGTCTAATTGGATGGGAATCTACGTTGCATTTGACGCACCACTACAAGATGAATCGACAGATTCGGCGGTATTCATTGGCGGCAAATCATTGCAGCTTGGTGGCGGTGGCGTTAGCATAGTAGCATGGACGACGAGATGATTGAAAATGATCACAACGGAGATCTAGTCCTATTGGCAGACATCCATTTAAAATGTAGGCGACGGCATGAAAAAAGTGGTTTCTACTTTTACTTTTATACTTTAAGTAAATATATAAGCCTGTACTTTGTTACTTTTACTTAAGTAAAGGAGTTTAATCAGTACTTTCCACTTTTACCAGAGTATTTTTTAACACAAGTATCTGTACTTTTACTCAAGTACGGAAAGTGAGTACTTTTGCCATCTCTGTATTTAAGTACATGAATCTGAAGGTCTGTTGTTTCTTTTTAGTTTATATTGGGCCAGCTTGTCTTCGTTTCTGCTCTGGAAGAGGACATTGCTCCCGCACAGGCTGCAAGTAAGAATAATTCTTTTGGTTATTATCCTAAATAAATCCAAAATAACTGTGGTCTAAGGTCTAAAGCCCTTAGCTACGTTAAAATTAAATCCAATTGTAATATCTTGTTAATTAATTTTTATGCTCTGTTCCTTCTTTTTCTCATTCTGTCTTTAATTGTCTTTTGTTTGTATCTTTGCCTCCGGTCAGATGTGACCCGGGCTTCAGCGGTCCAGCTTGTGAGCTTGCATCCCAGACCTTCCCTGCTTTCCTTTCCGAAGGTTTCTCCAGCCCCCGTCTCTCCTCCTACCACAGCTTCTCCTCCCTGCGCGGGGCTGAAGTCAGCTTTGGCTGCGGAGTGCTCGCCAGCGGAAAGGCTCTGGTCTTTAACAGGGATGGCAGGAGACACTTGGTCACTGCACCGCTTGACAGTTCCCAAGCCAGGTAACGTTAGAGGGATGTAAAATGTGCAGAAACTATGTGAAATGTTTATCATGCAGAGAAGTAGATCTGGAGTCTTCAGATAAACTACTCCCAAAAACTGGCTTGTTCCAGTCATCCATCACTTCTCTCTCATGCTTTAATGTCATACTTATAGATGTATTGTGTTTGGGGAAAAGCTTTAGCTGGGAGAAGATATTAAAGTGCTTACTAAGATTCGTCTGAGAGAGAGAGGCAAAGATGAGGTTAAATATGGCTTTACGTTGGATTGATTGCGTCTGTTGCAGATGTAGCTGTGCTCACAGGGAGACATATTTAATGCTAGTTTTCCTGGCTGATAAAGTAAACAGCTGCATGGAAGAGGAAACTGTGCCGCTAATGAAAGCACCGCTAAACCATAGACGGAGAGCTATAGATGGCGTTAGAACTATGAGCCAAGAGGAGATGAGATGATTAAAATCTGAATAAATGATAGAGCACACTTGATTAGAAATCAACTTGTCTGCAGACATAGTGATATTGATTAGACCGTGTTGCTCTGATTGTTTCATAACTCAACACTTTCAAGAATACTTTTGTTGTCTACTTTATATTTCTAATCCCTCTTATGTAAATAGGCCTTTGTTATTTTATTGTTTCATCATGACTAGGGTCATTTTAACTGTATGTCCTTTTGTATCATTAAAGGAAATTCTATTTGTTTTGTAAAAATTTTCTGAGAAATAAAAAGAAAGGAATATATTTTTATAGAAAAGAAAACAAAAACTTTTTTTTTATTTTATTAATAGAAGTGCAGTTTTATACGGAGCCCCCCTAGGGGACATCGCAAAATTTTTCATTACCTCGCAAAACCTTTTGCATTACCTCGCAAAACCTTTTGAGAAAGTTTTTGCGTTCCCACGCAAAACCTTTTGCGTGGGAAACGCAAAACCTTACTTCGGTAAAGTTAGAAAGATATTCACAGATTCTGACTTCCGGGATCAATAACTCTCGTTGTTGAAACACAAATGGCGCCTCTTTAATGTCCTGATAGCACAGACTACGCATTACAAGAATCAAAAAGCGTTGTTTTCGAGGAAAACGAGCCGTTCTCCGAGCTGGATGTATTACATTGATCTCTATGCACAGGCAGCAGCCAGGCGAGTGGTTAGGGACCGTCTGCAAATGGTAAAACAACAGCAAAACGTTGCAAATAAAAATCAATAACGCTACTGCCATAAAGTGCAGAGACTCTAAAATCACCGCACACACCAAGTAGCTCTTGGTGATCGCACTACAACAGCTGGTTTGGAAAAATACACCTTTACTTATTGTTTTTAGAATTTTTTGTTATTATTAAGCATAAATATTATCCTATTTTACTTCATAAAGAATTCCCATCGGCCTACCATCTCTGTGTACTTCATTCACAAAATGTTATAAAAAGGTGTATTTTTCCAAACCAGCTGTTGTAGTGCAATCACCAAGAGCCCCTTGGTGTGTGTGGTGATTTTGGAGTCTCTGCACTTTATGGCAGTGGAGTTATTGATTTCAATTTGCAACGTTTTGCTGTTGTTTTACCATTTGCAGACGGTCCCTAACCACTCGCCTGGCCTGTGGCTGTGCATAGAGATCAATGTAATACATCCAGCTCGGAGAACGGCTCGTTTTTCTTTGAAAAATAACGCTTTTTGGTTCTTGTAATACGTAGTCTGTGCTATCAGGACATAAAAGAGGCGCCATTTGTGTTTCAACAACGAGAGTTATTGATCCCGGAAGTCCTAATCTGTGAATCTCTTTCTAACTTTACCGAAGTAAGGTTTTGAGTTCTCACGCAAAAGGTTTCGCGAGGGAACGCAAAAGAAAAAAACATTCCCCATGTCCCCTAGGGGCCTCCGTAGTTTTATGTACCTTTTGTCAAGAATCAATGCTTTGTTTAAGTTTTTTTTTAAAATAGGAGCTCCTATTTAATAAATAAAGGTTTATTGTATGATTTTATTTTGTTTTTATTGCAATTCCATACCAACTTCCAGGCAATACTTATATATATGTAGTTTTTTTATTATTTCACAGATAGTAAAATATCTAAGAATTAAATGCTCCAGTTAAAAAATAGGGAAAACAGTTTTTTTTATATATATAATCAGTTATTGTACATTCAACTTTCGGGCAATCATCAATACTTTGGACTGAGAGGGGGACTCATGGTAAGACTAAATGCCCAAAGGGGTTCAAAAATCAAAAAAGGTTTGGAAACACTGCTTTAAATCGTTCATGTTTTAAACCGTTTCTGTTAGCGGTGCTTTTTTTCCTCTCAGCAGCGTTTTTGTTTTGTCTTCTACAGATACCTCCAGTTCACTCTGCGCCTTGGTAGCCGCAGCATCCTGAGCTCCTGCCCTGCTCCTGACCAGCCAGGCGAAGGTGTTTTGTTGCATTATTCTTCAGACAATGGCATCACCTGGACGCTGCTGCGGCACTATGCATACCAAGGCTTCCACGAGCCAAGGTAACTTCTGCGCTTGTCACCAGTGTATATTTATTATTTAATAAGAAGCTTAATGAGGACTCAAAAGGGACTGGCTCATTTATTTGGCATTAGACATCTCAAATAAACACATCTTTCATTACAGTAGCATAAACTTCTGTAAATTTCACATAAATGTCAGTTTAAATGCTTTTATTCATTGCAGTGTGTTCATGATTTGAAATAACTGTCAGAAAGCAGTGTTGGTTTGGAGGACCCGAATGCAGAGACGAGTTGGCAGAGTTGAAATTAAGTGGTTTAATAAGGTTCACCGGCACTGAGGCAGGAATCAAAAAATCCAACAAAAAATAACTCACGAACCAGAACTTAGGAGACATCAGGGGAAAACCAAAATCTAGGAACCAGGAAGAGAAGAGAAAGGCAGACAGACGATTGACCAGAGGTTAGACCAGAGGTTAGACGAGGATCCAGCAAACAGGAACTGAAGAGGAAGGGCTTTTAAAGGGGACAGAGACAGGGAGAGGGCTAATGAGGGAATTGAAAACAGGTGAGGGCTGAACAGAAAACAGAGCAAGAGAAAGAGGACACAAGAGGGCAGCAGAGGACAACAAATGGAAAACCTGGAAGACAGGAACAAATAAGAAAACAACAACAAAATAATAATCAAATAACTAGAATAAAGAAACATGGTGAAAAGAAAACTAAACACTAGAAATCAAGGAGCAAAAGAAAAACATAACAGAAACAGAAACCTAACAATAACTGTTCTAAATGAGCACAAGTATTGATACCCCTACTTGACCTTTTAAACTGAAGCACTTAATACTTAGACGTAGACTCAACTTTATCCCTTGGGATTACTCCTTCAGGGAAATTCTGGCTCCAGTAGCTTATATAGAGTACAAAGAATTAATGCAAGGTGCCATTATAGATTTAAAAAAATTGACAGAAAATATAAAAAGAGTTTATATAGAACAAAAAAGCATAAAAAAGAAAAAGTTATGTCGTGGAATATGTTTCTCTTAGATATATAAATATCTGCACAGTAGAGAGCTAAGGAAAGACTACCTTGAGTTATTGCACTTTTACTGCCGAGATGGACTGACCTTATAAATAAGTCTAAAAAATACACAGGCTACACAGTAGTGGGCATGTGTTATTGCACAATCTGAGAGAAGAATATTGCAAATGAGTGACAATAGATAATGTTTTGCATAAGATGTTTGAGGAGGTGGTGGAAAGCTTTATGGCTTGAGGAGCAAAGAGTTCAGCATTCTGTTGGTCCTGCATTTGGGGAGCAGCAATCTCCCACTGATCAGGCTCCTCTGAGTGGTGAAAACAGTGTGCAGAGGGGGGCTGGCATTGTTCATAATGTCCAGCAGTTTGTTAAGTGTCCTTGTCTCTTCCACCGTCCCCAGAGGGTCCAGCTTCTTGGCAATCACAGAGCCGGCTCACCTTACCAGTTTGTCCAGTCTGGAGGTGTCCTTCATGGCTGTGCTGCTCCCCCAGCACTCCATGCTGTAGAAGCGTTTTGTGTTCAGAAGTCATTGTTTTAAATGGAAAACCTTTTAGAAAATCTCTGCTTCATAACTAATAGTTTTGTGTTTATTTGGGATAAAAAGATGATATGCTATCTCCATGCTAAATGGATGCCTGATCTAAGCTTGTCAAACTATGAAAAACCTAAACATGTCAAGTTTGCATAAAACTACAGCTACTTTGGTCATAGGAGATAAAGGTTTAAATGTCAGATAATATTTACTTTAGGTAGATTTGATGATCTGTTCCAGTTATTCTGAGAAACTTACATTATTAAAAAAAAGCATTATGATTTCTTTTAAACGGGAAGACATTTAAAATATATAGTTACCTTTCCAGTCAACTGAAATAATTAAAAAATGTAACTGCTAAACATATAACCAATTACACTGCTGATTTTGTAAAAAAAAAATAAAATCTATAGATGCTGAAAAACACAATTTAAAGAAGCAGAACAAGTAAGTGAGTTCAGAAAGAGTTAAATTATTTACATTTAGTACATTAATTACAAACAACAGAATGTGTTTGTGTAGATTTTCAGTCCAAGTCAGGGCCTGACTCATCGTTCTGTCAGCCTGTGTGATTAATCGCATTACATCACAAACGGTATAGTTGCTGTTCCTACACTTATTCAGCTGTGATTATGACACATGTGCTGCTTAGGCGTTGGCAAAACAAAGTAAATAATCATACTGATCTACCTTAAAATATCTAGGGCATCCTATTTCTTAAGGATACAAATAATTTCATGTTTTTAATAAAAGTATTGTTTTGTAGGTTTTCTTATCTACTGATCTTTCCAGAAATATGTAGGACTTCTAATTAACCTCAGAGTCCAGTTTCTTCTCTTTTTTTTTCTCTCCATTTGTTCTTTCTTTTAATCTGCTGCTTATCTTTCCACAAAGCTTGTAGGGAAAGTGCAAGAATATCAGAGTTGAATTGAGTTACAGTAAACTGTGACGTGAATTGCCTTGGGGGCTTCAGACTTGATAAAGGATGAAAAAGTGCTATTTCCCACAGAATTTTTTAAAAATTATTAATTCTTTTGAGCAACAATACAAGCAAGATTCACATTGAGATATTAAGACAGTTTAGTAGAGTTCAAAAGGGGTAGGTAGAATTTCAAGAACTTGTAAGAACCTACCCCCAATAACAATATTCATGTCATGTAACATACAGTATAAGGACTTTTGTTAAAAGGAGACATTACAAATCAAAGCGCAGTTAAACCAACACAGAGTGTCTTATTTTGCAAGCAGTTGTACAGAAAAAAAGAAGATATCTAGTTGTACATATTGAAAGTTTTGCAAATTGTCACGTTTAAATGTTTGGGTCACATGCATATTTCTTAAAGATAACATGTTTATACATGCTTTTTAAATTTCTTTCTTTTTATTACCATATATAACTCATTCCACAACATAACTCCTGCTTGGCTGTGCTCCAGACTTTTAAGTGGGGTGTGAACGCCACATCTTCTCAACACAAATTCTCCTTTCAAATTATAATTCTCTTCTCTACACTGGAAAAAATCAAAATCTAGAAAAGTAATGTTATCTTAAAAAAAGTGCATTTGTTCTTGAATTAATGAGGTAAAAGAGACAGTTTGCCAATGGAACAAGACAATTTTACACTTAAAATAAGAAAACACAATTGCAATGTCTTATTTCAAGTGCATATTATCTAATTATCTTATTTTAAGAGTAAATATACTCATTCCATTGGCAAACTATCTCATTTACCTACTCAAATTAAGGGTAAATAAACTTAGTTTAAGACTTTTTTTACTTGTTTCTAGATCGTTTTTCCAGTGTACTGTTAAATATATGTTTTTACACTGCAAAAACCATCTAGAAATAAGTACAACATTTCTTAAAATAAGTGAATTTACCCTTAATTTTGGTAGGTAAATAAGACGATTTGCCAATGGAATGAGTATTTCTACTCCTAAAATAAGACAATTAGATAATATTCACTTGAAATAAGACAAAGCAATTGTTTTTTTCTTATTTTAAATGTAAATTGTCTTGTTCCATTGGCAAGGTGTCTCACTTATCTCCTCAAGTCAAGACAAAATTCACTGAATTTAAGCAAAAATAACTCATACAGATTTCCATTTTTTGCAGTGTATATTGCCAGGAGTCTTGTTTGATATTTTGCTAAATAAATCTAGATTACTTTTATGCGTATTACCCCAAACCTCTATGCAATAACTATGTAGGGAGTGGCGGCCTAGTGGTTAGGGCATTGGGCTTTGAATCCAGACTGCCACTCTGGGTCCCTGAGCAAGACCCTTAACCCCACACTGCTCCCCGGGCGCCTCACAATGGCAGCCCACTGCTCCCCAAGGGGATGGGTTAAATGCAGAGAAGTAATTTCCCTCTGGGATTATTAGAGTATATAAAATACAAAAAAAAATACAAATATGTATGTGTTGGAGCCTATTAAGAATTAGATTCATTTATCTTTTGCAAAATTATTAATGTTAAAGAGCTAAGGTTATGTGAATGGTAGAGTTATTGTTTATTTGTTTATGTATTTGTTTTGCTTTGACCCTCCTCCTTGTCAGTCCGCCTCCTGCTGAGATTAACAAGTAGAAGCAGCTGATGAGGTGGAGCTGATTGTTTGTTTGAAGGAGTGAGGAGTGCAACAGTTTTTTCACACACATCACTTAACTTTATATTTGAATTTTTGTTAGTCAACTCTGAAAATATTTCTGTTATTTTTTATTAGTAAAGAAAACACCCTTATTTTGAAACAAGAAAATTCTCCACGAGTGCTTTTTGTTTTGTGAGTCGAAAAACCTCCTCCTAAGACTACTCTGGCAATTTTTGATTTTTTTGGAAACTTTTTTGAAGCAAGATTAGCCGCAACAAGTGAAAAAACTTCACTGATGACTTGAAGAAGAGCCTAAAGTCGGGAGCCACCAGCCGATCACGCTCTGATGCGCAAAGAAAGCAGCCAGCGGGCCGTGAGTACAATCAGCTGACTGAGTTTATGAATGAAGGCGCCGCTGCGCTACAAAGAATGATCGATAACTACAGAAAGCAAAGCTGTTGATTTCAAAGAAGGATGCTTATTGATGAACTTACTTGAAAGTGAAAAGATCGGCGTGGTCATTAACAATGTTGGACCCTAAAATCCACGCCTGCGTCTGAGAACATGTTAAAAGAGCGCGTCCTTTCGCGCAGAGGCAGATTGGGAGCCTGCACTAGAAAGATTAATGAAATAAAGGCTTTGATGACGGATGCAGGAAATATTGATGAAGTCAATGATTTAGTACAAGCATTTAAGGAAGCCGTGGATGAGTTTAAAAATGCTCATAGGTTGGTTCAAGAGCTCTTATCAGAGGACGAAAAGGAAAATGATTATAATGACTGGTTTGAGCCTCGAATAACTAACTTAAACTATTTTTTGAAAGATGTCGAAACATGGAAAAAAGACATTGTACAATCAACAATCAAACCATCAGACAGCATATC